TATATATATATATATATATATATATGCTGGTCACGGTAATACAGCATTTAATGGCAATAATAAAGAGTATTTATCTTGTTTTTTGTGTTTTTTTAAACATTACCTTGTTTAGACCACCTGAACAATCACTGAGATCTTCCAAAAGAGGAAAAAAAAGAAGAAAAAAAAGCACTTTAAGGTCTAATATTTCACCGTGGAAAATAGGAGACCTTAAAGTGTGAATACAATGAAATTCACTTGTTTCCCATGTGTGTTTTCTTTCTTTTTTTTGAGCCATATAAAGCTAAAGGAAACTGGAGAGGACTATACACACACCTGTACATACACAAAATTAACATTAACAACAAAAGCAAAACAAAACAAATGATGTTGAGCATCTTGTTTGATCTTTACTTAGACAAAGCATTAAAATGTTCCCGGTTATCATTTATTTTAGTCTAGATGCTATCAAACTTGTTGCTGTGCAAAAAACTGCTCGCCTTTTCCCAAATGAGGCATGTTAGAAATCAAGACCGAGCTGATCCGCAGGGTCATAAATGATGTGCGCTTTTGCTTCCCCTTCAGTTTTATCTCTGAAAACTATATAAGTTAATGCTGAGTCACGCGACGGTCTGATTTTCTTTTTGATCAGTGACGTTTATTGGCTCTACTAAAAGGCTCATTCTCTTACTCAGCTTATTACAGCTGACAAATGAAGACTTTTATCCATTTGACCAGAGTCCTGGGCGACGCTAACATTTAGCCAACAGGATTTGAACACTGACAGCACAACACGACACACAGTTAACCTCACATTTAGGAGATGTAAAGGGCAGAGGTGCGAAGACATATGTGGACATAACACCCTGAGAACATGACACACTAACCTGCTGTTGAAAGCGCATACTGATGACAAGTTTGCGATAAAATAGGCAGAAGAAGTTTACAGCTAGTGTCCTGTATGACAGAAAAAAAGATAGAGGAGGAACAATTTGTGATAGATGGATAGAAGCTAAAAATACCTGTTTTAACCAGCAGGTGGTGTCCCAACTCTTGATTTAGGTTGAAACGTCCTATTATCCTTCTCACCACATATGTAAAGTAACAACGAGCAAAGCAATGCTACAGTGAAGAAAGGATGAAATGTCTGGATTTGCTCAGTGTGTGCAAAAAATAAAACAAATTTGATGGTTTTCTTAAGACAGTTTGGGGAGAGGACATCTTTTTTGTTCATTCCAGTCACAGGCTGGGAAACGTTGTAGATCACGGGACACGAGCTGCAGCGGGATGCACATTTAAGAGAAAGAAAGCAATTCAAAGAAGAACTGACAACACTTTGGCGACTTGCAACCCTGTTGGCACAACGGGGACACAACGAGAGACAATTCGGAGCGTTGTCGCTTTGGACGAAACGTGTTTACGTCTTGGCTTCGTTCGACACAGTCTCAGTCTGTCCCATCTCCATTTTTCCATGATTGTCTTTAGATTTAATAGACCACTTTTATCAGAAAAAAAAAAAGGCCAGCGTGTTTAGAAAAATCCCTTCCCATCTTGTTTTCTGTTGGATTGTCTTCTGTTTTGTTACACAGGCGAAAGGAGCAGGTCAGTCAGTTTCGTACCTTATGTCACTATCATCACACTTTGCCTGCATCTCCTTATTAATTTCAAGTCTTTTCCTTCGTCGCTCCCTTTGACTGACGGCTCAGTCTAGACGATGGAGTCCCAGTCAAAATCATCCTGGATGTCGTCGGCAGCGAGCATGCGCCTCACCTGAAAGTGTCCCGGAGGCAGCGTGTGTTGTTGCTGGCTCAGCTGGCTGTGATGACCTGGATGTATAAGAAGATGATAATTACATCTGAATTATTTCTTTTTAAATATGTGAGTAGGACAAAGAACAGCTGAAACTAAAAGTGTCTAAAACACAGCTAAAATATAGGAAAAACAAAATAAAAAGTCAAAAACAGAGAAATATACTGTCAGCACATTACCCCACGTCTTAAAGTGCCCTAAATAACAGGTGATCATGACATGGTGACTCATATTAGTGAGTCACTGCAATGAATTTTAATGGTTACTTTGAAACTAAAATGCATATTGGATACTATAAAAACGCTCAGTGTATCTTAAGAAAATTATAAAATTAATGTATCAGAGAGGTGTTGATGCAACTTTATGACGAGATACTTCAGTATGTGGCAGCACTGTGCTGCATTAAGTGCCTTCACAACAATATTCTGAGCTACAAATGGATCATTTTCTGGGGAATTAAAGAAAATTTATAATAGTTTTTCTACTGGTTCACTTCATTAGTACTCAGTTAGACCACCTTCTGCCTTCAGAGCTGGCTTAATTCTTTATGGCATGGACTCAACAAGGTGCTGAAAACATTCCTCATAGATTCTGGTCCAAAGTGACAAGACAGCATCATACAGTTGCTTCAAATCCTGCAGCTCCACATCCGTTTAAGTACAGTGAGCTCATGGTCGCATTCAAGAAATCAGTTAGGAAGACTATGGTGATAAAATAATGCTCACTTGTTGCTAAGATTCACAAAGTATGCCAATAAAATATCCTGAACACTAATGCACTCCATCACCACCAGCCCCTACCACTGATACAAGGCAGGATGGATCGATTTTGACCATCCAACTGTTCCAGAAAAAAACTCATTGTAGGACGTATAGGAGTGGGAACTGCTGTGGTCATCTCTTGCTGCGCCCTCAGAGATGCAAAACTTGGTTGTACCGAGTGGTTATTTAAGTTACTGTTGCCTTCCTATCAGCTTGAAGCAGTCGGACCATTCTCCTCTGACCTCTGGTGTGACCAAGGGATAGACAGAGCTCACTGGATATTTTTTTTCTTTTTCAGACCATCCTCTGTAAATTCTCAAGATGGTTTCATGGGAACATCCAAAAAGATCAGGAGATCCTCATCGACAACCACGCCACGTCCAAAGTCACCTAAATTACCGTTCGCCTCCATTTCTGGTGCTCAGTTTAAACTTCAGCAGGTTGTGTTGAGTTGCTGATCTGTGATTGGTGGATTTTTAATTCTATCTCCTAACTTTATGAAGAGAAATACAACATTTGACTTTAGTTCAAGCTTCCCTATTTAATCAATCAGAAGTGTGTTATCCAGTTTAAAGTGTTCTATTGCCAAAAATCTCTATCTCTCTCTTGCTCACACACAAACACACACACACACTGCCTCTGTGTAAGCCTCTATATACACCATGTATTTCTCCAGGCTCCTCCTGACCTGTTAAGAGAGCGATGGGAGAGTCACCTGTCATGGTGGGAGCAGTGTTGCTCATGGGAGGCATGTGAGGATATCCTGGTGGGCCCATCAGAGAAGAAAGGTTTTGTCTCGAGTCCATGTACATGTTCCCTGTGGGAGAATAGACAAAAGGGCAATGACTAACTGTCAGATTAGTATCCCGGCTTTCACACTACTCGTCTTTGCAGAACACAAGCTGTTATCATGGGCGCACACAATTTTATTGTCGTTTTATGCTAAGCCAGAGAAATCCAATAGATTCTGCTGCCACTCAGTGGATTTCCCTCTGGTGAAATATTCCCCCATCTTCATATCTTTACTTCAGTTGCCATTAAACTGACAGACTCCATAATTTTGCTGTAAATAGACAACGAGCCAACAATGACACAGCGAGCGGAGAGACTGGCAGTCAGCTGAGCTCCTGCCGCCATCCCGTCAACTAACAGCAGGAACCATTATTTTGCTAATGGAGAGTTTTGGGGTTCCATATGTTATTTTAAGTTAACATACTTTTTTTCACGCTTTTCTTTTGACACATGAGTGGAGTCATCAGATAAAAATAAATAACAGCATTTTATTGTAATGTCTGTGAAGGTTCTCAGTCATCCAGGTCATCGTAGTCAAAGGAGCTTGCAAAGAAAAGCGTCTGGACTTCTTTAAGTTGCTTGAAGAC